CCTAAGCTTTATCCTTCTCTCCATATAATGATGAAAATTATTTCTTTGGTGAACACCATCAGGGCAAGAATCTCAGAGCCAGCATGGTGCCTGACACATACTGGGTTCTTAAAAAATACTTATTTGATGAATGAATGAAAAAATGTTGCCACTCTCCTTTGTATATTCCCTTCTCCACCTTCCAGCTCCTTACATGATATTATTTGATCTGAGATCCTTTAGCGTAAGGCTATTGTTTCTTATTCACCTGGAACGTATTACAGTACCTGGTCAATAAACTTCCGTTAAAGGAGTTAAGGGATGCTGAGTACCATCTACTCCTTCAGAAGAAAATGATTGGCACTCCCTGGGGATTCACTGTTCATGAAGAATGGATTGCAACATCCAGTTTCCACCATATGTTGATAATCACATGGGCCAGGACAGAATTCAGACATACTGATCTCATCAGTATAAAATTCAGTAGCTGAGTGACCAGAAGGAGGAACATTCTACGATATAGAAAAGACCAGATTTGGAAATATTTAGGTCGGGGTTTCCAACTTTATTTTTTAATGATCTTTTAAAGCCATCCTTTGATACCTGGATGATGTTGACTGTCACTCCCTGAGCAACAATTTAGAGCTTAAATGTAGCCTTCCTGGATGCTGCACGAGATCAGCATTCTAGCTGTACCTATTTTCTAGGATAGCTCTGCCAAAGATGTCACAGCTGTGCTGTTGACAGGCAGGGATGGTGCCATATCCAGCTCCCAAATGGCCATGTTCTTTCATCTCATGTGGTTTCAAATGCAAGTTGACCTGCTGACTTGAGAAGAAGAAGAAAAAAAAGAAAAGACTCTACAAAATGGACCTGTGGCTTTAGGAGATAATGATGCACTCAAGGAAAGAAGGAGAAATAATCACTTCTTGAGTGCATTCTTGGTTGGTGTGTCCCCAGTCTGAGTGTCTATGAGGGTATTTCTTCCCTGGAGTGAACAACTTTGCCCACTTGATGGTCATCTTAGTGAAACGTGCCTGAGTTGCTCTTCGGACAACTGGAGCTGTGTTTAGGCAAGTCTCAATGATGGCATGAGCATCCTCTGCAGACAGAGGGCGACAGGCACTCCCCTTGCCCCGCACCGCTCCTTCCTGCAACGTTAAGAGCCCCTGTTGGTGTATGGAGCAGAAAGAAGGAACCATTTGACCAAGAGCGTGCAAGATGAAAACCAATTTTGTTTCACAGACTGTCTGTGTGAACGTTTGATCTGGACAGGAATTGCATGGGTCTGTCTACCTTCGAGTTAAGGTTCCAAAGCAGTTAGTAGTCCCATTGGTTTCCGTGAGAGTCATTAAGCAGCTCACACAGGGTGAGAAGAAAGTTGAAGACAACTACATTTAAAATCGACATCTCAAAACCTTTTTACTTGCTAAAGATGGAGTCTGTCATTCATCAATCAGTACTTACTTTCTGCCATGTTGATTTCTCAGATCTGAAGGTTTGGGTCAAGAGATATTTGGCATTTCTTTTTCCAACTGACTGATAACTTTTTCCTTTGAGATCAAGTTGCCGTATTCTTCTCCCAGGTCGTAACGCTCTAAGACTTTTAAAAAAAAATTTGTAACAACCAATGGTCAACGTAAGTTTGAAAATTTCTCCAGTGTTTGTAACCAGTGCCAGGGGAAGTATATTCAGGGCCACAGTTACTTATTTATAATTCTGAAATCTAGAAAGCTCTGCTAAAATAGAGGCTTTCTTCATTATGCTTGCACAACTTAATTTGGTGACAAAACCTGACCTGAACGGATACAAGGCTATTTATAGCCTCTAATAATCTTATGTAGTTGACTATTCATATTCACTGCTGTAGAAATAGTAACACATTTATTAAGAGTGCTGGGCTTCCCTGGTGGCGCAGTGGTTGAGAGTCCGCCTGCCGATGCGGGGGACGCGGGTTCGTGTCCTGGTCCGGGAAGATCCCACATGCCGCGGAGCGGCTGGGCCCGTGAGCCGTGGCCGCTGAGCCTGTGCTTCCGGAGCCTGTGCTCCGCAACGGGAGAGGCCACAGCGGTGAGAGGCCCGCGTACCACAAAAAAAAAAAAAGAGTGCTGTCCAAGATTCTACCAGTGGTGTTACAATATACTCCATAGATAACTTCCTAAAATGTGAAAAATTATAAATTCCGAAACACACCTGACTCCAAAGTGTTGGTTAGGGAATTGAAGACCTAAATTAAACTGTGAAGGTAATGATTTTTCACCTACCTGCTAAGTTTCAGCGAAAGACAGCAAACTAGGGGGAATGACAAAACCATGGGTGCAACTTTAAAGGGACGACAACTGCAGTGACCCGATCTGCTCTCTACTTGGACATGAGGCAAGTTTCTCCCTCACTCTTGATTGTCACCATCTGAACACCAGGCTCCTTTGGCCAGGGTATTAAATGAGGCTTAACCCAATTACGAACATATTGCTTTATTTCTTGGTGGTAGTAAATTAAGGCTTTTTAGAGTCATACAGCACGCAGTGATTTGAACATTAGAATTAAAAAACAACAACAACAACAATGAGCATTCAATTTTGCAAAGGCAGGAAGGAAGCAATGTTTAAAAACAGGTCAATTTCCTAGTGAGGCTTTTTGCTTGGTCTCTAAAAATCTGCTGAGCTGTTACCCTGGGAACCTGTGTCATAGGTACCTACAACAAGGGGAAGCAGAATGGGTGAAGAGAAGACTGGGGAAAAGGGAGAAACTGGGAAGGACAGTCCATGCTGGGCAATCGGTGTGAAAGTCGGCTTTGTCTCATGTTTGGAAGACGTTTAGGTGCTGTGGTCAGGTGGTGGTGATAAAGGTGTTTGGAATGGGATGCCCCTTCTCTGGTTCTGGTTCTGGGAGCCATTTTGGACCTCTCCTCTTATTCCGGGAGAATTAAAGCAGCTCACTTGGAAGATCGCAGTGCCAAGGGTTAGGCACAATCCTTTGTGACTCTCAAAGCTTTAGACAGGGTCACAAGTCATACAGCAGGGAAATGCTACCTTCAACCCCTTTCACGGTTCTAAACCTTGTGACCATCACTAGATACTATCCCCAGCCAAACAATTCCTTTTCCTTCATGACACACAGCCTTGAGCGCGCCTCTAAGCTGCTGGCGGTGTTGATTGGAGAGGAGGGCATATTTCATACCCTACCTCCTGCTTCTCAACGTAGGACAAAGCCACGCAGGAGTGCAGCTGTCAAGTGGGGCGTAGGCTCGATCTGAAACCCATTCCACATGCTTGACTTGCAGACGCAGAGGTTCTGGGTTTGGGTGGTGGATCCTTTGAGAAAGAAATGGATGAACTGTTTGAACAGTGATGGAGGAGGGCTGTTGCCAAAGAATAATTTAAGAGAGGTCATGGGTTTATTAACAAAAAGCAATTAAATTTCATGAAAACAAGCAGTGGAATTTCTGGCATCCTGACTTCACATGAATGAGGATAGCAAATGGATTTCTATCCAAATAGGACCATTTAAAATGCATACTTGGCAATGACTTTAACGTTGTATTCCAAGGGTCTGGTTGGTGGACCAGCGCCTAAGTCTTATCATTGAGTTCCTTCTTCCATTTGTGTGGCACTTTTGAGTGGACAGGATTTAAGCTACCTGGAAGTCTGCTCTGCATCTTTGATGGAGGACATGCAAACAGTCACAGGGGAAGGCACACGAGGTGGCAATCTGCAAGATTAAACACGTATGACTTAACCCCAACAGGCTTCATGCGATGAAGTCTGGATGCACAAGGAAACAAATAGATGAGAAAAGTAGAAATGTGATCTGAATGACAAAGAACCGAGGCGTCTGTTCCTCCCAGCTGCAGGGCAGATGTGTGCATGCATGCCACGTGTGCAGTGAGAGGGATTTGAAAAACCCTAGAGGACATGTGTTCTCTTGGGCCTCCCTTGTTAATTAAAAATTATGAGTGCCTTTCCTCCTACTTGAAACCACTCAGAAAGATCAACCTGACTGGGGGATGTGGGTTTTGCTGTGATTAGGAATCCATGGCCTCCATACAATGGTGTGGAGTGGAGTGATGCCAAAAGCATCTGTGTACGGAAACCATCCATCTAGCTGGGCAGGAGAAGATGACCAAGAGACTCGCTCACCAAAACAAACAGGCTGGGAGTGATACTCAGATCGGAGTGAAGGACATACAGGACGCCGGTGGTGGCGTGCCTCCTGAAAGCATCCACAGAATCAACACCCTTGGAAGAGGTAGAGGTGTCCTGTGCTCTATGCCAAGGAGCCTGTGTTTACTGACGTCTCTATTCCCTCAGCTCTAAAATGGGCATGAAGCTAATCCTCGATCAGATCAGAGAATGGCCTCTCATTCGGTGCTGGAAGCCGAAGCCCAGAGAGGTCAAGTGCCTTGCCCAAGGTCACACAGCTCGTAAGTGGCAGAGCTGGGAGGTGGGGGAACAACGCAAGTCTCTTCCTCCACCGTGCTGCCTGCCACCAATGATTCTTTAAAAAGGTTTAGAAGCGCTTCATATATACCAGGTGCTGTGACGTTTATCTAACAAGAATTTGCTTGGGTGTGGGGCTGAAAAATGTGCTTTAGGCCAATCAAGCAGTTGAAAGAGGAGGCGGTCCGGAGAGCATTATTATTCTGATAATTTGCTGTCAGTGTAGGAGAGGGAACAGTGGGGTAGGAGGGACCAGGGTGTAGACCTCGGGGCTGTGGCCAGGAAGGAGACAGAGAGAAAAAGGCGCGTTCCTAAACACACTGCAATCCGCTTTCTGAGGTACATCTTTCTGAGACGAGAAACTGCCTGCAAATGACCTGACCCCCCAAGAAGCCATTGGCTGCGATAGAAATGTGCCCCCCAGCCTCCTTTCCTGGACCTCTGTTGCCCACGAGAAATAAGGAAAAAGAAACGCCAGATTCCTAAGAACCTTCCTGGAAGAAAGAGCTGTTACGAGTGGGTGTCGGCGCTTACACACGCTGCTTTGAAAGAACATTTTGTTTCGTTCATGTCTGTAGGAAGACAGCGACGGCTGGAAGCTGTCCCTTCAGAAGAAGGCAGGGTTGGTGTGCTCGATGACGCAGCGCTTGCAGTGGCGTTTCACGAAGCGCAGGGCCTCCACGGACACCTCGCAATCCTGCACGTTCAGCATCTGCAGGTCGAAGCAGTTGGCCGCCACGATCTGCAAGCCCTGGCCCGTGATGCTCTCGCAGGACTTGAGGCTGAGCCGCTTGAGATTGAAGCAGTTCAGGGCCAGGCACTCCAGGCCCGTGTCGGAGACCAGAGGGCACTTGCCGATGTCCAGAGACTTGAGTTTTGCGCAGTTCTTGGCGAGGTACTCCACGCCGTGGTCCGTGATGCCCTCGCAGCCCCTCGCGTTGAGGTAACGCAGCTTGCCGCAGTACTTGGCCACGTAGCGGATGCCCACGTCGGTGACGCGGCCACAGTGGGCGATGCTGAGGTACCGCAGGCGGGACTCCAGCTTGGCGATCTCTCGCAGGCCGAAGTCGCTGACGAAGCGGCAGTCGCTCACGCTCAGCTCCTTGATGGAGGTGCAGTAGATCATCAGGTAGCGGAGGCCCTCGTCCGTGAGGCGGACGCAGCGGCGCAGGTACAGGTGGGTCAGCTGCGTGCAGTGCGCCGCGATGGTGTGCAGGCCTTCGTCCTCCAGCACAAAGCAGTCCGTCATGTCCAGGTAGCGGATGGAGATCTGTTTGCCATGCAAGGGGGACAGTTTAATGGAGGCCTCCCGGGTCAAGCTGATGCAGGTCACTTTGGAGCACCCTACACAAAGAGACAGAACACACGCTCAGAGCGACCTCCGAGAATCGGGGGGGGGGCGGTGCGGGTGCAGTTGGGGGACTCCTTTACGGATTGCTACCCCTCTCTGGGTTCAGGCCCTGAGGTTACCCCTTCCCTTCCCAGCCCCTACGGAGGAGGAACGCCAAGAATGGGCTTTCCATGTTCATTTCATCCCTTAACGACTTTGGGTTTAAGAGGCTTTGGGGCTCTAGAATCAGAAAGATAACGGTTGCAATTCCAGATCCATCACTAGTTGCTTGACGTTGGGCAAATCAATCCTTCTCCGTACTTCCTTCGTCTTAAAATAAGGATGAGCACGTTCCCTGCAAGGTGGCTGTGAAGAGGCAATGAGACCATGTGTGTAAATATCCTGCCCTGGCCCTGGAAAGCTCGGGAAGCTCAGTAAAGTTTAGTTCTCACCCTACAATGGTCTGGTAGCTTTCTGGTCCAAAGAAATGAGATATGAGATAGAAGGGTTGGCCATGACCTGGGTGTGGCAGAAAGAGAGCATTGGCTTGGGAATCACAAACCGGTTCAGATCTACTTTTTATGGCCTGAGGCAGGAGGCTTAACTCTCCTGAGTCTCACGACTCTCCTCTGAAATGAGGATGAGTAGCTGGCGTGCCTCCACGGGGTATAATGAGGATGCAACGAGAGATAACGGATACGGAGGTACTCTGAAAACTATGGCAAACGTATACATCAACAGTTATTAGTCTAACAAGGTGACCGTCTAGGGATTCAGTTCAACCCTCTTTGGTCAAGGAAGAACAATTGTGTCATCAGGACTATTCCTCTAGCCCCTCAACCAGCTTCCCTGCCCTGCCCTTACAATCTCTACGGTCTATTCTCCTCACAGCAGCCAGAGAGATTCTGGAAAATAGAATTCCATCTATCATGCTCAAAGCCTTCAGATGGCACCATCTCACACCACGTGTAAAATCGAAAGGGGCCTCCAAGGACCTGCACCCCCGTGCCCTTATCTCTTACCTCCTCTTCCAACCCTACTGGCCTCCTTGCTGGTTCCCAGATGGCTCAGGTGCCCCCCTGCCTCTGCATGTGTGCACTGGACAGGGTTTCCCTGGATAGCGCCATGGGCCACCTCCACTTTCTTAGGTCTCTGAGCAAATGTCCCTTTACTGGACAATTCTTCCTTCCTCACCCTGTATGAACTAGTATCCCCATTTATTTTCAGCACTTGTTATCACCTTGAGGCACTATATATTTATTTATTCACTTATGTATTTGCTGTCGTCACTCTGGAATGTGAGCTCCTAAGAAAAGGGACTCTGCACTGTTCATTGCTGTATCCCTCCCTCATACCTGGCTCATAGCTGCTGCTCACTAAGCATCTGTTGAATGAATGAATGATTTATAGAGTGCGTACAGTCTTCTCTAAGAAGACCTGATGGGATAATCCAACTTCCAACGTTTAAATGTCCTCGGGACTTTGACCATGGCTGATGTATAGCTACATTGAAAAACTGCTTATCTGTTTTATAGTTAATTATAATGCCTCTTATTTATGTTGAATTATGAAGTTTACAAAGTGCTTTTATAAACATTTTCTCACTTGATTCTTAAAAAAATCCATTTTACAGATAAGGAAATTAGTGCTGAGGAAGATATCTTTAGATGTCTCTCGAAACATTGTTTCCAACCTCCCTTCCCCTAAGAATGTCTGTCTGTATATGCATTTTATATGCATATATTTATACTATATATTATATAATTATATATTTTATATATAATGAATATTATATGTATAATATTTATATAATATATAATGAATATATAATTACATATGAAGCCCTCATTTAATTGTGTATTTCAGTTCACTGGATATTACTCTTTAAAATATGTACAGTATATTTTTCGTATATGAATATAATTAATATCCATAGCCAATACACATTATATAAATAAATGTATATGTATACATATATTTCATTCTGCTACACAGACTGCATATATACTTTTCATTTTCTCTTTGCTTTCCCCAAATCCCTCTGGCAGCTCTAAAGCCAGGTGCCTCAACCCCGGCAGCTCTGTGCCTTGGTTGATGACGTCATCTCCAAGGCTTCTAAACGACTGCGTGACAGTGCTAACGGGGACTTTTCCTCCCACTCCTGGCAGGCTTTCCAGGAAACTCTTATAAAATTCAGGTCATGGGAATAATGAGGTTCAGAAGCCATGTGCTACCAAGTCAAAGAATTTCAGGAAGGAGCAAAGCATATACTCCAACACTGGAGGACAAAGATGCAGCTTGTCGAGGCTGCCCACACTACTCCAGTGGGCTCCGCGGTTTTGCAGAACATGGTTGGTACCCTTCAACTGTAACTTGGAAATCTTCCTTTATTTTGAATTTCTTTTTTATACTGACTGTGATCCTGCTTATGCTGAATTTATATGTTCACAGTAGTGATTGCCCATCTGTGATGCCTGTGAAGGCACTTTGTTTTTCCAGATGATATGACAACCTTTGTTCCTAAACTCTTAGTTCCAGTTTCCTATTAAAAAAAAAAAAAACCTAGTAAAATCTGCTGCACTCCAGGGAGGATACTCTATTTGGTCCAGGGAAATATCAATATATGCTTGGATTTTGAAACTAAGCCCCAAATTTAATGAAATACTAGCTGAGCTCAGTTTTGGTAAAGATACTATTTTGATATGCTTGTATCATTGTAGATCAATAATTTAAAATTTAAGCTTTATCCTTAATTCTTACAGATTTACTAAGTTTGGGGTGGAAAGAAAATAAACCGGTTCATGGCTCAGTAGGTAATATCTGTGGCTAGTGGATGCATTCATACATAACAGACATGGAGAGAACCTGAGAAATCATTCAATTTAAACTTCAGTTTTTAAAGATGAGGCATCTCAGATTCAGTGAGATTATAGGACTTGTACAGTCAGACTAGGGAAAAGTTTCCTGATCCAAGGTTTCTAATATAGCAGGGATGGTATATACAGCATGCAACTGATGAATTGCATGAGAGATTTACAGTAGATGTGTCAGCATGAAGTGAATATTTAGACACTGGGGCATCAGAAGTCTTGGGAGTGGTGATACCTATATGGGGATTCTTGGAAGAGAGAAACAATTTTAATACACAGATATGGAGCCCAGGTAGTATAAGGTAATAGTACGAGCAAATTCGAGAGACAAGAAAGCATAGAGGCAGAGTGGGAGTGAGGAGTGTTGATAGGCTAGAACATAGGATTTAATGGCAACTAAGATGGGAATGGTCCATTGGGATCAGATCTCGGGGGCCTGCCTTTAACATTCAGGATAAGGAGTAGGGATATTACACAACAGAGAGTGAACCGTATGGGTTGAATAAATCTGGGGATATCTTCAATTAATTCCAGATTTGGTTCAGCTTTCACAAATATACTCTTCATTACCACTTCCTCTCATTATTGGGGTAATATCTACTTTTCTGGGGTATAAAAGGCCTGATGAAGACCAACTACTGTCAATGAAGACCAACCTCTGCCTTGCAAGCATGTTAATAACAATGACAATCCAAAAATGATGATAACAGTTATGATTTATTGAGTGCTTACTACATAGTTTTCAGCAGAACACACATGTGAGGACTTATCATGAATTAACTCATTTAATCCTCCCAACGAACTCAATTTTACTGGTGAGGAAGTTTTATTTACTGCACACAGCTTCCTAAATGCTTGTTCAGAGTATTAGCCAATGACAGCTTTGTTTGAACCCTTTAGAGGTCAAGATGACTGTTTAGGGCTTTGACACCCCTCTGTTCACTTAATTACAATATTGTAAAGTGCAGAGATAAAATATGCCTCATTTTTGCCCATATAAAGCTTGTAATGAATTGAGAGAAAGGAATCTGGGAATATACAAGTATAAAGTTGCAAAACCCAGTAACACTCTACCTGCTTATACTCAAAAGGTAGACACCTGGGAGGAAACCTTCAGCTCACCGGGCATCAGGCAGGGAAGGCTTTACTTAAGGGATGCTTGCACTGGGGCTCCAGCAATGAGAAATCTGTTAAGAGGGCTGCTGGGGAGAGGCAGGGGGCAGAGGAGGGAATGGCACGCAGGTCAGAGAGTGCCCACACATCACAGTGTGCACAGGCATGATGTGTTTGGGAAATGCAACTTGTTCTATGGAAGGGAGCACTGAGGTTACACAGGAAAGGCGTGAGGTTTGAACTTGAAAAGGGCAGCTCATGAAGGGCCATATATACTCTGCTGAGGAACTTTTTCCTGTATGTCATGAGGAGGAAGTGGAGATTTTATGCAGGAAAATGAATGGTTAGACTTGCAGTTTGAAGACATCCCTTTGGAGGCTGGCTGTGTGGAGGGCGGGTTGATGAGGCTGAGATGGGTGTAGGGACAATGATGGGGGAAGCATGCATCCAGGCTGGCAGGTAGGGGAGAGGGGATGGACTCGAGATTCTGGGGACGTAGAATCACAGGGACAGGATTCAACTGGTCTGATATAAAAGATTCGGAAGAATAGTAAGGAGGACTCCCAGATCTCCAATTACAGGGGACCCTTTTGAAGCCATTTCACTTGTAATAATCACAAGATTTTGTACTTTAAAAATTGGTTAGGCGCTTCCCTGGTGGCGCAGTGGTTGGGAGTCCGCCTGCCGATGCAGGGGACGTGGGTTCATGCCCCATTCCGGGAAGATCCCACATGCCGCGGAGCGGCTGGGCCCGTGAGCCGTGGCCGCCGAGACTGCGCGTCCGGAGCCTGTGCTCCGCAATGGGAGAGGCCACAGCAGTGAGAGGCCCGCGTACCGCAAAAAAAAAAAAAAAAAAAAAAAAAATTAGTTAGTCTTAATATATTCCATTGATGTTTAAAGATGTTATTAATTGTGATTTTTAATTTTATGTGTCAGCTTGACTAGGTGACGAAATGCCAAGATATTTGGCTAAACCTTATTTCTGGTGTGCCTGTGAGCGTGTTTCTGGTTAAGATTAACATTTGAACCGGGGAACTCAGTCAAGCAGTCTGCCCTCCTCAGTGCAGATGGACACCATCCAATCTGTTGAGGGTCCGAATAGAACAAAAGGTGGAGGATGGAGAACTCTCCCTCTGCCTGAATGTTTGAGCCAACACAGTGGTCTTTTCCTGCCTTCGGACTGAGACTTACACCATCAGCAACCCTGGTTCTCAGACTTTTAGACTCAGACTAACTGCATCACTGTTTTTTCTGGGTCTCCAGCTTGCAGACAGCGAACTGTAGGACTTCTCAGATGCCGTAATTGTGTGAGCCAATTCCTCTTAATAAATATCTTTATATATATACTATTGGCTCTATTTCTCTGGAGAACCCTGACTAAACTTTAATAAAAGGTAATAAGTGATAATGCAGAAACACTAGAGCTAGTTATAGTAACTTTCAATGACTTGAAAAGATAACTTTCAAGGTGGGCATGCTAGGGATGGGAGGGGCAGTCTCACGTCCTCTGGGGGAATTAGGCTCTAGACCAGCGATGAGTCTTCCAAAGTCAAGTTTATTGCCATTGAGAAGCTGGTCACTGTCAGAGGCCAGCTGTGAGAACGAAAGGGAACAAGGCATAGGTGAAATCACAATTTCCAGGTTCCCTCAGAACTGGAGGGCACTGTTCAGAGGTGGTGATACAAATCCATCCCTATGGCTTGTTGGGTCCTTCAAGTTCATCTACCTGAAAATACCCATCACCACTCCTGCCAATATCTACAATTATGTGCTCTCGGTGAGTCAGAGCTTCCCCTGTGTACACAGTCTTTATATACCCAGATCACAGCGTGTCGTCGGAAGACATGTGAGGAAGATACACAAATATTTTAGGTTCTGCAACGGGGCAGGTTGATAAAGATGAAGGGCATCAAGGCTTACATAATGGTTAGCAAAGGGACCAAGCAGGATCCATACACTCAGGCTAGAAGCCCAGAAATTTCCTTTCTCAAATAGCCAAAGTAGTTTCTGCATTTCTGAATTTCAAACGGACTCCAAGGACAGAACACAATTACTTGCAGCCTGTACTGAGGGTGCATGGGGTGCCCCTTTAAATAAGATGAGGATTCCAAAAATGAGTCATTTTCTAATCTGAGAAAATGAGGTGTTTATAAAAGAGGCCCACAAGCTTCAGAATCTTAGCCTGTTAAAGAATCCAATCCCTTAGCCCCCCGCCCCTTTTTTTTTTTTTTTTAAACAAACAGAAAACACATTTGTTGTTTGTTTGTTTTTCGGGTTTTTTTTGCGGTACCCCTTTTTTTTTTTTTTTTAAACGAAGAGGAAACACATCTAGAGAAAGCTGTGAATTGTCCCAAATCACAGAGTTCTGAAACTAGTTTCTACCACATCACAATGCTTTCTTTTTCCAGAATTCCTTGGGGGGAAAATGTAAGAAAACCTTTTAGTTTCCTGCTTCTTTATGCCAACAGCTGCTCATGACGAACTGAACATACAGTTTCTATGGCTTTGTCCTGGAGCCAGCTGAAGGAGGGGGGCAATGAGCTGCTTTCCAGCAAGGGAAAGAATCTGCGAGAAATAATTGACTGTCATCTGAAATATTTTCAGATGTCGGTTTTCAAAAGCGAGAGCGAGCTCAGAGAGGCGACTTTTACCTCAGCTTTTGCTGGAGGGTATCATTTACCTCAGATGCTTGTAAATCCCCAATTCTGTTTATTCACCCGTCACAGTGGTTTTTACTTCTTGACCCTCTTCCCCAACAATCCCTGAGGTTGTAGCTCACGCTGTTCATTTCTTTAACTCCCTGATGCATCTTACACATTTCAGCCTCTCGCATGTTCGTCTTCTGACTGAGCGGTGGATGAGATAAAGAGAGGCTGTTAGTCCGGCTGGATCCACGTCTGTCTGGCGCCTAAGTATGAGTCTGGGTTTTAATTCTTCCTGCCTGAGAGAGGGCTTCAAGCAAAGCAGCCATGCTGGGATTTCCTTCATTTTTAAAAGGAACTAAAAAGGCTCTCCCTGGTGGGCCCTAACCTTGCACTGCCAATTGAGAACTGTGCTTGAGAAAAGGTGCAAAATCAACCCAAGGGTGAGGAGAGTAGGGGTGAAATATGAAGAGATGCTTGGCCGTGATGGATTTTCCCCAGTGTCTGCAAAATGGCGAACAATCACAATCACAGGCCACAACAGAGAATCAGCTTAGACACAGCACTCAGGCTCCATGAAACAGTAACCAGTGGATGTCAGGGCAGTTTCTAAACTACCTCCGTTTGAGTTAGAGTTGGTTCCTATTTATCTGTGATTAGATATTTAGCTCCCATTATCTACGGTTGCTCTGAAATTACTTTGAGAATGATGGGGAGGAAAGACACGCTTAAAAGTCACCCCAACTTGAACTGCCGGACAAAAGGTGCCTCTAGTTCCTCTAAGAAGTTGACATCATTTGATGAAAGGCACACCTCTGGCCCCCAGGGTCATGATTCCATAAAGACAGTCTTTCGGGAAGAAGGGTCAGCCTCCTGACCCCTGGCTATCACAAGGGGCACCCTTCCCAGGTGGCAGTGTCCTTTACGGGTTCGGGACGGTACACTGGGAAGGGCCTGCCGATGGCAGGTCAGTGGCCACATACCTGACACATCCAGATGCTCCAGATTGGGACAGAGGGACACCACATCGAAGACTGCCTCGTTGGAGATATTGTAGCAGCCCGAGACTTCCAGCCGCCGGAGCTCCGGGCAGCGCTGGGCAATGGTGTAAAGACCTCGGTCCGTGAGCCGCCTGCAGCCACTGACACTTACGGTTTCCAGCATGAGACAGACGTTGGGTGTGTCCTGACAGAGCCTGCGGGTCAGCACCTTGAGGGCGCGGTCCACGTTGACGGTCTCGCCCGTCAGGCGGATAGTCCTCCAGAGGCGCGGGTCCCAGGCCAGGTTGTACCAGCGGCGGCACACGCGGGCGCAGCGGCACAGCTGGTTGGTGGGCAGGAAAGAGAAGATCTGCACCATGGCGTGGTCCGGGAGCCGTTCGATGCTGGCCTGCTCCTTCGGGGGCCGGGAGGCGAGCCGGATGAGCGGGTGGGTGAGACGGGTCGGGGGCGGGGAGTGGACCATGGCCACCGTCTCCCCGGTGACGGAGGACGAGGAGGTGGACGAGCCCCTTCCATTCTGAAATCCCGGCAGGTTGGGTGGACATATCAGGGCTGGGCTGGGCGTGCTCAGTGTGCGCATGCTCAGGTCGGAGTCTGGCAAAGGACATAGACAGAGCAAAGGGTTAAGGATGGCCGGCGCGGAGCCCCGGGAAGGAGGCAAGGGAGGTGACACTCATGCCACTGACATCCTTCCTGGGCCGACCCCTGCTGAATCCATCACTGGAAGTGGGAGCACATGCGCGTTTCACCCACTCCAGAAAAGGGCTAATCCTCCAATATTTACATCAGGGGTGGGCAAACTATCTGTAAAAGGCCAGATAAGAAATAGTTGAGGCACTGCAGGCCATATGGGTTCTGTCTCTGTTGCAATTATTCAACCCTGCTGTTTTAGTGCAAAAGCTGCCATAAGCAATACGTAAACAAGCAGTCGTGGCTATTTTTCCATAAAATTTGTCCTGGAAAAACAGATCAGCTGATTTGGTCCAAGGGCTAGAGTCTGCTGACCTTTGATCTACGTTAATGGTGATTATCTAAAGGGCACAAGGGCTATAGTTTGCTGACCTTTGATCCACGTTAATGGTGATTATCTAAAGGGCACAAGTTCAAAGTTTCATTATTTCTATACTGGGAAGAAAGCTCATACATTATGAGCACAAACTGATTTACTTTTCTAATTATACTTTAGTTAGGCAGATGATTATGCTTCATTTACGAATGAGGGGAATGTGTTTCACAAGAGGGGAAGACTGGCCAGTGGGTATAGAGAACATTTGCTGTCTCTGCCCTCACCTGCCCCCTGGGGTTCAGTCCCTCATCTTTTGATAACCGTACCCCAAACTCTGCGGTCTGAGTTCTGGGGAGCCCCTGCTTCCTTCCTCCGTTAGATCTAGCACTTCAGATGGTATTTCCAGGCCTTGAATATCTGTGGCAATACTTATTTTTCCTTCTTATTAATCATTCCTCCCTTTGCATTTGAATAATGTGACTCATATTCTGTTCCTCAGAACCAGAAAGATCACTTGATGAAGATGCAAGTGGTTTTTGTTTATGAGGGATTGAGAGTTCTTTAGAATACTGCTTTAAGAAGTCTGCTCATTTCATAGCTGCCCCTCTCCCAACCTTGAGAGACATATATACATATATATGGAAGAATTTATTCTCGTGCTATATAAATATATTTATATAGTATATATTTTACATATTTAGATGGATAGATTTATTTAGGAAGACATTTACTCTCTTTCTAAATATGTTTATATATTTCATACAGATGTGTGAATATACATTTATATATATATATATATATATATATATATATATATAGAGAGAGAGAGAGAGAGAGAGAGAGAGAGAGAGAGAATGAATTCACCTCCAACATACACATTTCTTTATCTGTGAAATAAGTGAGTTGATCTAGATAATTTCTAAGTCATTTCCAGCTCTAATTATAGCTCTAAAGACTTAAACAAAAATTCTATCCTTGTGTGCTGTTTCACATTTCGTACCTTCAGAGTTTTCAAACACTTGTCTTTTCAAAGAACTTCCGGCAATAACACATAACACAAGAACTTCTGACACAGGACATCTCTGCTGTCTACTTGTAGTTTTCCTATTGATATACTTTCTCTATTTCTATGTTTTCTTTTGAATTTACTTCTCTGTAACCTAACACTGAGACTGTCCTACACATGTCCACCACTATTGCTCCTGGAGCATCCTTAAATTATTATCTGTCCACCCCTCTCCCCCCCGACACACCTATACATACACCTTGTCTGCCTCTTGAAATGCAAACACCTTTTGTGACTGAGTGCAAATGTCACCTCCACTAAGAATACTTAGTGTCTTTGAGATATAATTAATCCCTTCCCTTTTGAAATTCCCACCCTTTGTTATATAGGCATGTGTGAATTTATCTTT